ATGTTCGTGCAGGAGGAGAAGATTTTCGCGGGCAAGGTGCTGCGGCTGCACATCTGCGCGTCCGACGGCGCCGAGTGGCTGGAGGAGGCGACCGAGGACACCTCGGTGGAGAAGCTCAAGGAGCGCTGCCTCAAGCACGTAAGTCCGGGCCGCGGCCGCCCCCTTCCTTAGCCGCCCCCTTCCCGACCCCCCAACCCCTACACCTTCCCGACGCCCTTCCTGGACCGGGCTCCGGGCCGAGCGCTTCAAGATCAACTCCTGCCGCAGCCCGAGGAGCTCGGGGCAGGCCGGGAAACTGAGGCAGGAAAGGTGAAGTCGCCGCGCGGAGCAGGGCCTCGTGGTTTTCCATCATTTGTGCTCGCTTTGCGCTTGGGGTGAGGCTCTTGGTTTTTAGCCGGGCCGAGGAAGAGGGACCCGCCGTGGAGAAGTGGCTTCCCTTCCCTGCGGGGCGGGCGACCTGGAGCTGTTTCCCGCTGGCTGGCATGGGGTCTGGCTCTGGCCGCTTGAGCCTCCGAGCTGGAGTCCCTGAAATGGGGCCGCTGCCAGACTCGTCCCCGAGCCCCTGCTTTGCCGTGGCCTTTGCATCCATTCGGCGGGTGGGTCCAGGAGAAGAGTCTCCTCGCTGAAAAAGCCACTTTTTAACGGTCAGTTCATGTGAAATACCCCTGTATAGTTGGCTCCTTAGTTTGCTAATTTTTGGAGATAGTTCTTGCTGGCCGTGTCTCTGGAAACTCCTCCACTCAGGCAGGCTGGGCCACCTGACTCCCGCTGCCCTTGGCCCGTGCGGTGTTTTCTTGTCAGGGTTTAGGTTCGTCTTCTGGTGCGGATTCCATGTAGTAAATTACACGTTTGTACTGTGGCGAGCGTCCTCTCCAAGGACGAACTTCCAGTTACTGTGGGAACTATGCACGAAGATACTTTTGAGTCACTTGGGAGTGAGGGTCTGTGGAGCTGTTTTGTGACTGGCCAAGGCAGGCAGGCATTCTGGTTTCCAGAGCAGATCCCTTTCTGGAACACGCTGGATGTCAGTTACGATGCGGTCCTGGCCTCAGATCCAGGAGGGGGCCAGTTGGGTGTTTTCGCCATCTAGAAACCCCCCGGACAGCAGGCTAGTAGGCTGGGGGCTCCGCGAGCGTGCAGGCTGTGAGAGCCAGGCCCTGTTGCTTGTCGAGTCGTGTACATTTATTAAAAAAAAAATTTTTTTTTAACGTTTGTTATTCATTTTTGAGAGGCGGGGAGAGACAGAGTATGAGTGGGGGAGGGGCAGAGGGAGAGGGAGAGACAGAATCCGAAGCAGCTCCAGGCTCTGAGCTGTCAGCGCAGAGCCCGACGCCGGGCACGAACTCACGAACCGCGAGATCATGACCTGAGCCGAAGTCGGACGCTCCACTGGCTGAGTCACCCAGGCACCCCGAGTCCTGTACGTTTAAAACAAAAGCCAAAAACCTCCCCGACTTGCTGTTCCCCCTCCCTCCCCCCAGCCCACCCAGGACAGGAGCTCCTCGAGGGCTGGGTCTGTGTTCACATGTCCAGAGCCAGGCTCTCTGTGCTCAGAACAAACCTGTGGGTTAATGGAATAACTGGAAATGGACTGTCAGTTCAGAACTGCCCGGACTTGGAGCGACACCTGCTGAGTCAGGCAGGGAGAAGTCGGTGGGTAAATCGGGGTGGCATTTGACTTAACTCACTGATTTACATAGCTATCATAATATTAGTTTATGAAGGGGAACAGGAAGTGAGAACTGCTGGACTGATCCGCAGTTGCTTGCTAATGAATTTCAGGAGCTCTTGGGGTTCATTAGGCAGCCAATTTGAATAAGATGCTAATTACCATGTTCCTGATATTTATTATTCCAGTCGGGATTCAGGTGTGTCGTTGGGGACTTTTCTGGCACTGTCCTACTTTAAATTGAGATTTTGTTCCACTCTGCAGTCTCTCCAGGTGTGGGGGAGCCACGTAAATCACGGGACTTGAGAGCTGAGTGGTCGGGAAGCATTCCCCCCTCCGTGCCCGTCCTGTTCTGTGGGCAGGACGCGCCGTCTCTCGAGCCGGTCAGAATGCAGCAGTTAGCGACGAGTATTCTCACGCTGTATACTTGAACGTCGCCCGGGAAACCATCGCCCGAGTGTCGTACTGCAGCAGGCAGTGAGGCTCCGCCCGCCCGGGCTTCTGTTTCTCCTTCCCAGTCTTCCCCTGGTGCACACTCAGGCTGGCGCAACGTTTCCCTTCCTCCTCGAAGGGGACGCTGTGGGTTTCTCCCCCTCCGGTGGTACTCCTTCGGAGCGTGTTGCTTTATTAATGAGGAGCGTTCTTACCATAACTCTTAAAGAACCTGATGAGCTCTGTAGCTTTTCTTTTCTTTCCACATCAGTTGCGGTCTCTTGTGAAATTGTCAGTGCGTGACGTGGTACCTGTTAATATGGCTATGAGATCACATGACGGTGTGTCTTGGGGTGACCCAGGAGGTCGCGTCGCGTGTAGGAGGAACGGCCTCTTCACCCTTCTGGGGAGGAAGCAGCTTCAGCGGGTGTCCGCACCCGGCTCCCGTGATGGGCTCCGCTGGGGCCGTCCCGCTGCCGAATCTTCGCTTGCTCGGAGCGTCTGTGCCGAGAACAAAGGAGCAGGATGAAGTCACGGTGTGTGCGGATGACTCACGCTTGTGTTGTGCCGTGGACAGGTTGCGCAGTACAGTCTTCTCAGGGACCACATGAGGGTTGTTTTGGAGAATTGTGTTTCATACACTGTATTCTGAACTTGTCAGATCAGCTAGCCTGCGAATTTCAGAGTTAGAAGGAACACACCCAGTATTTCTGGGAGCAGAGCCAGAGTCGAATTCAAGGCAAGTGGGGGGAGGGTGGCATCTGCTCTCATAGATGCAGGAGCGGATCTTGCTGTTGGCTGAGCCCTTCTTTGCCCCCTTCATCCTCGCCCGTCGATGTGAGTGCACGACAGCCCCCCCTGAAGCCAGAGTGTTCCGGCTGTCGCCACGACCTTCTCCTGCCTGGACTTCAGTGTCCCCCCACCCCTGCCCCGGTGCCACGTTCTGGAGCGCCTGGAGCCCTGGCCAGTGAGTCACAACTGCGTGCCAGCCGGCCAGTCCCCTTTGGCCGCCCAGGAGGGGCCCCACCCGGGGCACCTGCAGCTTGCTTCGGGATCTGTGTGGTGGTCCCGTGCTGAGCGCAAGCCAAGGGCCGAGTGAAGGCTGGTTGTTCTCCTCTCGGGGTTTTGCGGGCTTTTCAGTGGTCAGGGCCCTGTTTCTACTGTCTGCGGACTCGCCTTCTCTCTTCACCGTCTCCCAGCCCCTTCCGTGCGTCTGGAAGAAAGAAAAAGTATACAATTCATACTTAGGTTTTTAGGTTTTCAGGTAACGGTGGACCTGCTGTTTTCATTTTAAAATGTTGCTCCAGATCTTTGCAGACAAGGGAAGCGATTCAGGTTGCCACTAATTGCCAGCAGGGTATTTTATGTCAAGCCGTGAACCTATTTCAGGAGTACTTACTGGGTTGGTGGACAGATTGCTGCCCTAGGGATCAGATGTTGTGGCCTTTTGTTTGGCTTCCGCCATTGATGAGAATTCTTTGACTTCGTCTGCGCTCTGACTTTTTAGCTAGTAGCCAGTACACTCCTGCTGTGGTTTGAGGGTCAGGTCCCGTATTGTTACCATTATGATTTATTTTCTATCTTGAAATATATGATTCTCCCCCCCCAGTGTGCTCATGGGAGCTTAGAAGACCCCAAAAGTGTGACCCATCACAAATTAATACACGCTGCTTCGGAGAGGGTGCTGAGTGATGCCAAAACAATCTTGGAAGAGAACATCCAAGACCAAGGTAGGGGCCTCACGGGGCAGCGGGGGGAGCCGCGGCATCCGTGGGAACGGGGGACCTGAGAGGTAAAGGCACCCTCGACGTCCACGTCTGCGTTCCAGGCTGGGACCGGCCGAGAACACTGGGTCCACTGAAAGGATTTTATTTTCCCTTTGGTACAACAAAGTACGCATTGTGGGATGTTTGTGACAAACAGCACAGACCGAAATGGAACGGGCAGCATCCATCTGAGAAACCAGCTGTGAACCTCATTTCTAATTCTGTTTCTGAGCAAACCCAGGGTCTTGCAGGGCTGCTCCCGGCTGTATCGTGCGGCCGGACCCCAGGGCGCCGGTGTCCTGGGATGACACTCCTGCTACAGACAACGTCCGTCCCGTCGCTTAGGCTTTGCGTCCGAAGCGTGTGGGGAGAAACCTTTGGTTTTCTAGATGTCATTCAAAGGGTGGTTTTAATTCTGGGATTCTCTTAAATAATCCGTTTCGGAAGTACTGTTCCCAGACCTCCGTGGAGTGTGGGGGTCGGGCTGGGGACCAGGCGGGAGCTGCCAGCCTCGCGGCCCGCGGCCCCCCTCCCCCCCGGCACGCCCCGGGTTTAGCTCTGAGGGTGGAGACCGGGCCCCCAGCCTCCGAGAGCGGAGCCCGTTGAAATGGGAGCGTTTTGTGAGGTTTCCACCCATTCTTGGCACAGTTATCAGGGCCGTGCTGTGTGTAACCCCCAGCCGGGGTCCCGCCGGGCCAGGGGACCCGCACGCGCACGGGGGGGGGGGGGGGGCAAAGGGGCTCATGTGAGCACTCGGCTTGGGGGGCACCCGGAGGGCGCCCCTGCTCCTGTGTCCTCGGGTCCTCTGGCGCCCGTTCTGCCATTTCACGGATAAGGGAGGTAACCGGCTTGATAGACGCGTTTCCTTTCCAGATGTCTTACTGTTGATAAAAAAGCGTGCCCCGAGTCCGCTGCCCAAGATGGCCGACGTGTCCGCAGCAGAAAAGGTGAGTCTCAGAGTTGGGAATCGGACGTCTTTGTCAGCAGGAGGCCCCCCCCCCGCTGAAGCCCGCGGCCTGACACGGTTCTGGATACCGGCCGCTCGCAGACCCAGCGCGTCCCACGGTCACGGTCACGGGGCTTTGTCGTGGCGGAGCCTCTCCTGGTCGCTGGCCGCGTGGCTGGCACCCCGCCCCCCGGGCCACCCGTCCGCCCCGATCTCCGGGAGCGCCCTCCTTCCTCTCCCCGGGTGGCACCCGGAGCACGGGGAAGGGGTGGCGGGCACACACTTGGGTCCCCGTGCCAGGAGCGCAGGCTCGTGCTCGGGAAGTTCCTGGAGAAGCGGGGGGCCTTCCACACCTGCGCCCAGGTGCAAAACGCTGCCATTGGAAAGGGGCAGCCGTACTAATTTCACAACTTTTCCTCGCTTATCTTGGGGACAGAGTTTCTTACTCATGCTCCGAAATGCTAGGGAGGGCGTTCACCCCTGAGAAAGCAGGCCAGACTCCGTGGGCCGTGGGCCTCTGAGCAGTGAGCTATCTCAGGGTCTCCTCTGGGACAGGCGGCACGGGGGGAGTGCCTGGGGGCTTATCTGTGGCCACACCTGGCCACGGCACTGGCATGGAGATGGGCCAGCCGCCCCCCCCCCCCCATCTCCGGGAGACAGAACCGGGCCCGCCCCTGCCTGTCCCGGAGACCTGCCTGGGCGGAACGCGGTTCTCCCGTTACAGTGCGAGCCCTTGGTAACCAGTGTTAGCCCTGGGAACCAGACGATGGGGTTCCCACCGCCACGGCGGCTCTGGGTAACTTGCGGCTGCGGACCTCACGCGGCAGTTCACCTTGTCTGCGCACGTTTGCAAAACAAAACATCGTAAGACGTTAATGCTTGTTTCTGTGAATTATTATTAATTTTAAGTGAAAGTAACATGCGTTTCCGAAGGCAAATAATGCTACCGGTCTCTCAATAAAAATCAGCATCTCCCTCTCCCACAGGAGTCACACACCCTAAAGGCAACATCTTTCACTCATTTCGCTCTTCCTTCAGCGGTTCTCTTCCTGATGGATAAACAGCACGCATAATTTATTATTTCTTAGAATATCAGCTTTAGGTTCTTCGGCTTCTTGGTGTTTGGTGTGTTAGATCATAGCCCTGGTTGTTGCCACGCTGGTTGAAGATTTCAGGATTTCGTTAGGATTAGTGTGTACATGTTGTTTTCCTTTGGGAGTTGAAGGGTACTAAGATTATCCTTTTTTTTTTTTTTTTAAATGTTTGTTTTTGAGAGAGAGAGAGAGAGAAAGAGGGTGAGTGAGGGACAGAGAGAGAGAGAGAAAGAGACAGAACTCGAAGCAGGCTCCAGGCTCTGAGCTGTCAGCACAGAGCCCGATGTGGG